TGCGCTTGACTGGGAAGGAAATGAGTTGATCCAACTTTTCTACACTTTTTTGTATCCGAGGGCCCTGGTTTCTTTACCCCGTATAGGAAGAGCAGAGTGTCATTAGGCTTTTTGTCGAGACCAGACACTTTGGCATAAATTTTGGAGTCAAGTTGGGCAAATAACTTGTCTAGAGATTCCACTTTTGAGATTGTAACTGAAACATTGGCTCGGAGTTCTAACAAGGCAAATGGATTAGCAAGGTTTGTAGTTGATGGTCCAGTTTTTGAGGTGGAACTCTCATACTTAGCTTAATCACTTCCTTGATTAAATGGAGGTTCAGAATGAGTAAGATTGTTTGCAGTGGCAGTTTGATTTTCCTTGGGAGGATTCATTTCTATTTTACCTCCGTGTGTGTGTTGTACTTGTTAACCAGCTTGGATTTCTTGATTAACAGGCTCTGATGAAGATGATGAAAGACCAAAGTCATAGATGGGTCGTGAAGGAGATGGTTTCTGCAAAATGTGGAAAGAAGAGAAAATTGGAGGAGTAGCAATGGACATGTTGTCATCATCGAACATGAAATCAGTCGAATGCTCTTCATCAAGATCAGGATGGAATGCATCATGGTGTGTAGACTTCGTAGGATCGTCCGAGATGATGTTTTCTTGATGACTTTCTCCTGATGTAAATTCTTGGTCTATGACATCATCAGATAGAGAAATAAACAGAAGATTGCTCTAAATGGATCAATTCCTCATTGAAATGAGAGTAGCTTCTACTTGTGATCGTATAAGCTCTGGATGCCTTGAATGAGCCCTACTAACAAAATCTAACCAATCAGGGTCATCAGTACCTGGTCTTCCTTTACTTGAGCCAGGTATCAGACCATTTGTGGCTTCCGAGGTTGGAGGGACTACCCAAGATATGGAATGCTTAGGATCCAAGGCAAGGGCCGCGAATCGCGCTTGTGTAGAAGAAGAAGGAGGGATATCCGAGGTGACTCGTGGGTGTGTTCCACGAGGTGCAAGGAACTATGTTCAACACTAACATCACCTTGTTGGGTAGGTGAGGTAGGATTATGAGAAACTCCCCGGGAGTGTGTGTAAGTGGTTTTAAAACTCCGAAGGGTACTTCGAAAGAGTGGTGGGTTGGGTAAAAGGATAACTAGAGTCTGTCAAAATGTCCTTGATAGATTCCCTTTGAGATGAAGCATTGACTTTGGCTCCCTTTTTGGATTTTAGTTTAGAGGGAGAAGTCTTTCACTTGGATGTCTTATTTTTGTTTCCAACAGCCGATACTGGCTTGGCCCCATCCGAGGTGGACTCAATGGGGACTGATGTAATGCCTGCAGATTCGAGCTAGTCAATTTAGAGATAATAAGCGTTAAAAATGATTCTTTGATAAAAGATTATTTGGAATAAATAATCTTAACCAAGTTATATTATATGTCACAAGGGTTGCGTACAAATAAAGAATGCTGAAATTCGAGTTATAACGAAGAAGTTATGACCCGTCGAAGTTTTACGGCTAAACCGGCACGACACCGAGAATCGTAAAAGTGAGTTTACGATAAAATACTTTTTAGACTTAACAATCTAAACGAAAGTCGTAGTATATGTTAAACCAAGAGCGTACAAAACTAGAACGTCCAAAACTAATTTTATTTGAGGAAGTTATGATTTTTCTAAGATTTAGCATAATAGTACACAACTCGGAAATCGAATTTTAGATCAATCAATTTTTAGCCGATACAACCTAAATGAGAATTGAACATCTCTTTAATAGGAGCTCAACTATACAATGACAGTCAAAAACGGATGTCGGATGAAAAGGTTATGAATTTTTAACGGATTTTAACTGTCTAAGTCTGTTAAAATATAACTTTAAAAATAAATTCAAATTTAGCCAATGGAATCTAAATGAAACCTGTAGATCCCGTTGATACCTGCATGTGGATATAAAGAACATAAAAATGGAGTATGTATGCAAAAGTTACTGATTTTAGAAGATAATTAGTTTTCGTAGAAACCAGCGAGTGACACGTGGCACGATCTGAGCCACTGCTACCTCACCACGGCTTGGCACCAGATGATGACACCTAGCCACAAACACCCAACGTTCAACAAGGGAATGCCCAGTGTTTCAAGCAGACTCATCCTATAAATAGAGGGAAAAATCACCCCAAAATCTCACACCATTCCCATTCTTTCTCTCTAAAACGCCCCTCTTAACCCCTTATGTTCCCTACCGCTTCCTGAGTGCTAGAGACAAATCTCTGAGTGCCAGAAGGCTCCAAAAAGAAGAGATTTTGGCTCTGAAGTTCTACCCCCGGAGAGCTCGGTTCCTAGCCAAACCTCCTAGTACGTGAGTTATGCTTATTTAAGTTCAATATCGTTATTAAGAACTTATAAACAATATGTGTGTGTGTGTGTCTGTATATATATATATATATATATATATATATATATATTCGAATATAATATACAAAGTGTCATTATAATATCTTTTAACTACTCGCGGTATTGGGAATCTGGTTTGAAGGGCCGCATAGGGTTGTTGGATTTCAGAAGTGATATGATGCCAAAATGGTGCCCTCCGTTGTTTTATGTCTTACCCCTGTCTGTACATAGTGGTTGAAAAGTATTGTTCAACACTTATAAAACAATATCACTCATAAATAGTCACAATAAATAGTAGACTAAACTCTAGTAGTAATGATACTAGGTTTCGTCAAAGGAAAATCGAATTGTTAGAAGCGAAGCGCTGCACGAGTTTGAAATCATTAGTTTAACAAATGAGTGCATGGTCCCTTTCATGAACATGATTTTAAAACAAGAATTAATTAAAGTATTAAATATTTGTCAAAGAGTTAAATATATGTTAAAGAGTTTATGTGTGAATGCATAGTCCCTTTCTTGAACATGATTTTAATAAAAGTATTAATTAAAGCATTAAATATATGTTAAAGAGTTAAATATATGTTAAAGAATTTATGTGTGAGTGCATAGTCCATTTCTTGAACATGATTTTAATACAAGTATTAATTAATGTATTAAATATCCGTTAAAAAGTTAAGTATATGTTAAAGAGTTTATGTGTGAGTGCATAGTCCATTTCTTGAACATGATTTTAATACAAGTATTGATTAAAGTATTAAATATATGTTTGTATGTGAAATATTTGATATTGCCTGAAATTCATGTTAAGAGCATATCTGATAATATATGATGATTTAGGATACAAAGTAAACCTAAATTAATTAAGAGGAATATTGGGTAGTATCTCCTTATAAGTACGAGTGAGATATACACGAAGGGTAGAACTTTAAAACTTGTCATTTATCCGAGAACATGGATTAGACTTAGTCATTTGTCCATAGTCCGAGAGTATGAAGAGGACAAAATTATTTGGCATTAATCTGGGAGCATGGATTACACATAGTCAATTGTCGCTAGTCCGGAAGTATGGAATGGGCGTAGTTATAGATCCGGGAGCATGGATTAGACATACCCTATCCGAGAGTATGGATTAGCTAAAAATGTTAATTTTAGATCCGAGAGTATAGATCGTGTCGTCGTAAGGATCGACGGGGTGGGGGTAAAATTGCTTATATGAGGTATTATATATATTGTGAGTTCTAATATATATATATATATATATATATATATATATATATATATATATATATATATATATATATATATATATATATATATATATATATATATATATATATATATATATAAACAGGATCGGGTGAGGACTCATTTTAAAGTGAGGAATCGTGAAGACACCTTAAAAAAATTGAAAAAAAAATGTAAAAAATACGAATCATAAAATGAGCATAAATCTATGCCCGAGATTAAAAAAATGGAAAAAAAAAAAATATGGATCACTAAAATTGAATCATTGATCATAATGATGTAAAACAAAAAATTAAAATTGAATCATGGATCAATTTTAATGATTCAATTTTTATTCCATTTTTTTCTCCTGGACATAGATCTATGCTCGATTTTATGATTTGTATTTTTTTTTCAATTATTTTAATGTGTCATCACAAGTGTTCACTTTAAAATGAGTCTTCACAAGAACCGGACCATATATATATATATATATATATATATATATATATATATATATATATATATATATATATATATATATATATATATGCTTAGGTTATTGTATGCTAGCTATTTATTGTGTGGATGTAATAATGATTGTGGACAAATCATTTTAGTTATTTTAAGAAAATGATTAATAAATATTGTTGAATTAAATATAATTGAAAAATATCATCTAATTTAATTATAAGTGTATTTTAATCAATTAATATAAATTTAATAAAGGAAAATTGCATATTTTAAGGGATCATAGATTCTATTAATTTTAAAAATCCGATTTTACGAATTATAATTCTTTTAATTCGGATATTCTGACAGGATATGTTTATTAGTATATTAAAAAATAAAAATATTTTTGAAGCATAAAATAATAAAAATTTTGTTGAACATATTTTTTGATCATGACTTTAAAAACTTCCTATAGAATAACAAATTCTTGAACCATCAATTGAAGAATAAAAATAAAAATTACATTAATTCTTCTAGAATAAGGGTAACAATTGATAAGAATTGCATTTATTGTTAAATAATAAAACTAAAAACATTTTCAAATCGGGAAAAAACATCAAACTCTAACAAAGACACAAATACATTCTAAAAGAATAATGTTGCTAAGAATCACTTTCAAATTTGTGGTCTGTTCTTCAAGCATCAACTTCTGTGAAAACAAATTCAAATGTAGTTTAGAATCCAATAATGCATTAGCAAACGAAAAATAAAAAACAAAATTTCTTTAGAAAAATATGCGGACTTGTGAATTGCAGCAAAACCAATAACCAAGAATTGCAGAACAAGCCTAAATCAGTGAGAAAATATCCATATTCCATTCCAACAGAATTGAAATTCATGATTCCATTCCGAAAAAACTAGAATTCAAGATTCAATTATTGTATGCCTTTTGTTGGAAAAATATCCATCTTTCGGTCTCTCTCAAACATTTCTTCACCATAGATAACTTGTCTAACATGGGTTTTACCCGAAACCACTATGTGAAGGCAACATTTCCCAAAATAAAACGCAAGTATTCTCTCTGAAGAACCTACTTCAACAACATAAGTCTATAACCATATTCATCGCACTGCATAAATCATGACCCACTCATTAAAGGATCATAATTCCCATCTGGGTTTTGCTTTACCCCTGGAGATGACACGAAATTTAAAACAATTTGATGGATTGTAGACATCAAACGAAAACCAGAGATAGACCAAACTGTAAGTCCTCTTAATTTCCATCCAGCTGCAAAAGCAAAACTATCAGGTGTCCATGAAATAGAACTAACCGCACCAATATCATCCATTGAATATCTACAGAAACAACCGTGGGTGAAACAGTCATTCATTACAAAGTACAAACTTCAAAAATGAATTCCATGATATAATTACAATTTACAAACTTACCCCCAATCGTGTAAGGAAACATAATGAATAAGTGCAATGGGTTTTCTAATTTCATACAACTCTGTGACACCTATTCTGGTTCCAACAATAAGGATTTTCTGATCTATAGAAATGGAAGAACATACTGCATCACCAGAGCCTAACCAAAAAGCAGACATTGAAATCAAACTTCTTCCAAGTCAAAGTAGAAAGTTTTTACAAATTAGCAAACAAAGGAATTTGATCGTAATCGGTTTCATTCATGGTAATATAAATCATAAGTAGAGAGAAATTTACCTTGCAAAATAGGCCTAGGGCAAACAAACCCATCATTCAGTAGAATTATTTGAAGGCATAGGAACAACAGAAGAGTCGACTCCAAACTGCGTACCTACAAAACCGTACAGGTGCCGATTAGAGAGACAAAGATGGAGCTAGTAAGATTAGGAGGTCTTAGGCGTGCGTTTTGTTCTGTCTTACTATCGTCGAGTACACAAAGAGGAAAACAAACGCTAGGTAGAAACATATTTGTTGTTACCCCCCTTTAAATTTAGGTGATTAAAGGCTTCAAAGAAGACCGGATCCATGTTGACTCGATGAATGAAATTGTACAAGCTTCAGAGGTTGTAGTTATTGATGGTGTCAACAGATTGTGCATCGGGGTTTCACGGAGATGTGATAGTAATGCTCTGATGGTTGGGGCTGTCGGATGTGCCCTTCAACCTCAGCAGTAATGGTGTTGGGATCGATTTCTGATATTGTCTTCAAATCAATATTAAAAGAGAAAACCTAGGTAGTTGAAGTCAATGCGTACCATAAGTATAAGATATTATTTGTGGAAACTAATTATCAAATTAAATATTTACCCTTATTTATTTAATTAATTATTTATTTTTATTTTAAATTTTGATTGGTCCACATTCATCCATACATCCACACAATAATTAGTTAGAATACTTGAACTTATCTCTCCCCCCCCCCTCTCTCTCTCTATATATATATATATATATATATATATATATATATATATATATATATATATATATATATATATATATATATACATCATATAACATTGTAGGATTGAACTCCCTATGTACTCACCAGGTTTCCCAACCCAACCCACTTAGTTTATTTGTATCACAGGTGTCGATATGAAGCTACATTACACTAAGAGATTAAATAAGATGTGAATCACTAGTGTAAATGAATATAAGGTCTGTTTATGCTTATGTTTCTGTATTGACGATGACATCCACAAGATTTTGTATAAACAAAATACATTTCTTTGGAAATGCTTTAATAAAATATTTATCATGTTTTTTGGGAACAAATTCCGCAATATTATTCTTTAAAATAAATACTCTCATTTTCAAATAAGCATAAATAAATTTTTTAAAATGACTGTGAATTTGAGGATGTCATAGTTGGTATCAGATCATTAGTTTAAGCGAACTAGGAGTAAGGATTTCTTTCTAGACTTAAACTTAGAATGCTAAGCGATGATGGTGAGGAGTGTGTCTATTATATTTTAGGTAGTACACCTGAATTGACACAAGCACTAGCTTACTTTAGGATTTGATGCCTAAATTGCTTTTATATGCTAAAGTATTTATGTTATAGCCTTATATGCTTTATGATGCTATTAGTTTATCTGATCTATGGTCTATTGCTGACCAGAACTAGAAATTTTATGTGTTCCGATTTTTAAACGTTTAATTGCGGTATTAGAACTCGCATGTAACTTTTCAGAGTGCTAAGGAGATTTATATGTTTATTATAAATAAAGCTTTCCTATTTTAATTCTAGTCTCTGCACACATCGGTGAACTGATTTGGTGTATAAATCGACATAGTGAGAACTCAAACCGGATTAGGAAACGGATGTCGACAACCTGAGCCTAAGCATGTGATGGGTCAAGCATCAGTCGTTGCACCTGCACCTGAACCTATCACAAAGGCATATGTTCAAGCAATAATATGAACAGTGTTCGACTGAGCAAATGGAGGAATTGATAAGGCTTAAGATAGTGAATGATACCTATCGGATGATATCATAAGATCGGTATCTTGCCTTTAGAAAATGTCTAATAAATAATATGTTTAGTATGGGAGAAGTGCACTTTCGATTAGCAGAAAGAAAGAACTTTTGGTATAATTCAGGAAGTTATCCCATCGTCTAGCATTTCCACCACCAACCGAGTTGAAGCAGAATTAATGTTTGAATATATGCATGGAAAAAGTCCTAGTAGACTCTAGGGAAATTTTTATGAGTATTTGGACACATTCTTATGTGTTAAATTGTTTTGTGATTTTAGTAAATAAGAACTTGGGGATTGCAAGACAATACTTGGGACAAGTACGAGTAGGTGTAAAAGGTAGTAGAGGCCTATACTACCGAAAGCACAGGAATCACACTTGGATTAGGGAAAGTCACAAGGTTACCAAGGCGCTAGTAATTGATTCTGTTTTTTTCATGTTCGTCGTTACCATCGTTTCGGTAATGACTAAGAAGATGATTATTATTCCGACTCTAGTGGCCATATCATATTGAGTCCGACTAAGATATGTATTCTTCGTGGTTCAGAGAACCAAGATCGATGTAGCATATGACTTAAGTCAGACAATTAAAGTGAATGATAATCGAAACAATCAATAGAAGTATCGCGATAATTGTAAGAGCTTGTATCTAGAAGTTCTACATGCTAAAAGTGATTATATCACATTAGAACATGAAGGAAGGTATATTCCATTCTAGAATTTGACTCTAATAGACCTGAGTCTAAGTATTGCATCATACGATGAGAGGTCATTAGAACATAACCCATCGGCCTATTATGGTAATTGAAGGAAAGAACTTATCTTAAGCATGTTAAGAAGAATAAGGAGTTTCCAATGAGAATCGAGATTGTAACTCGAAGGTTACAATTGAAAGTCCAACATATTACGAAGAGAAAATGCAAATTGAGCATCGCCAGCAGTCAAGAAGTCCAAGAGTTAGGTGCTAATTTTAAAGGACATAAAAGTTATGGTTATTACCTAGGATGAAAAGATAACATATAGATTCATTATACAAGCTCTGTTTTGTTGATGATTCTGGGACGTAATCATCCTAAGGGGGAGATAATTGTAACGCTCGTAGATTCGGGGAAGTCAATTTAGAGATAATAAGTGTTTAAAATGAGTTTTTGATTGAATATTATTTAGAATAAATAATCATAACCAAGTTATAGTATATGTCACAAGGGTTCCATACATATAAATACGCTACAATCCGAGTTATAACGAAGAAGTTATAACCCGTCAATGTTTTACGGCTAAAGTTGTACGACACCAAGAATCGTAAAAAGTGAGTTTACAATAAAATACTTTTTAGCCTTACGATATAAATGAGATTATTAGTATATGTTAAACTGATAGCGTACAAAAAAAGAACGTCCAAATTTGACTTTGTTTGAGAAAGTTATGATTTTTCTAAGATTTAGCATAACAGTGCACATCCCGGAAATTGAATTTTAGATCGATCAATTTTTAGCCGACAATACCTAAATCAGAATTGAAGATCTCTCTAATAGGAGATCAACTATTTAAAGATAGTCGAAAACGAACGTCAGATGAAAAAGTTATGAATTTTTAACGGATTTTAACTGTCTAGGTCTGTTAAAATATAACTTTTAAAAATAAATTCAAAATTAGCCAACAGAGTAATCGAAAGTTGTAGATCCTATCAATACCAATGCGTGGATATAACAAACATCAAAAATGGAGCCTGTATGCAAAATTTACGGATTTTAGAAAATAATTAGTTTTCGGAGTAACCAGCGAGCGACACATGGTGCGATCTGAGCCACTGCATCCTCGCCACAGCTTGGCACCATATGATGACACCTGGCCACGAACGACCAACATTTAAAAAGGGAATTTCCTGCGTTTGAACTGGACTCAGCATATAAATAGAGCTGCAAATCACCCCAAAAACTCACACCTTTCCCATTCTTTCTCTTTCAAACACCCCTCTTAACCCTTCCCATTCCCTAGCACTTCTCGTGTATTAGAGGAGAGTCCCGGAGTGCCAGAAGGCTTCGAGAAGAAGAGCTTTCGGCTCGGAAATTCTGCCCCCGCAGAGCTCGCTTCCTAGCCAACCCTCCTAGTAAGTGAGTTATGCTTACCCTACTTTAAATATAGCTTAAGTTTAAGTTCAATATCGTTATTATGAACATATAAACAATATATATATATATATATATATATATATATATATATATATATATATATATATATATATATATATATATATAATATAGAAAGGGTTATTATAATATATTTTTACTACTCGCGGTATGGGGAATCTGGTTGGAAGGGCCACATAGGGTTGTTGGATTTTAGAAGTGATATAATGCCAAAATGGTCCTGCCCTATCGTGTTTCATGTATGGACCCTGTTTGCACATAGTGGTTGAAAAGTATAGTTTAACACTTATAAAACAATATCACTCGTAAATATTTGCAATAAATATTAGACTAAAATCTAGTGGTAATGATACTAGGTTTCGTTGAAGGAAAATAGAATTGTTAGAAGCAAACTTGTTGCCCGAGTTGGAATCATCACTTTAACAAGTGAGTGAATAATCCCTTTCTTGAAAATGATTTTAATACAAGTATTAATTAAAGTATTAAATATATGTTAAAGAGTTTGTGTGAGTGTATAGTCCTTTTCATGAACATTATTTTAATACAAGTATTAATTAAAGTATTAAATACATCTTAAAGAGATTATGTGTGAGTGCATAGTCTCTTTCATGAACATGATTTTAATACAAGTATTATTTAAAGTATTCAATATATGTTAAAGAGTTTATATGTGAGTGCATAGTCCCTTTCATGAATATGATTTTAATACAAGTATTAATTAAAGTATTAAATATATGCTAAAGAGTTAAATATATGTTAAAGAGTTTATGTGTAAGTGCATAGTCCCTTTCATGAACATGATTTTAATACAAGTATTAATTAAAGCATTAAATATCTGTTAAAGAGTTAAATATATGTTAAAAAGTTTATGTGTGAGTGCATAGTATCTTTCATGAACATGATTTTAATACAAGTATTAATTAAAGAGTTAAATATATGTTAAAGAGTTTATGTGTGAGTGCATAGTGCCTTTCATGAACTTGATTTTGATACAATTATTAATTAAAGTATTAAATATCTTCTAAAGAGTTAAATATATGTTAAAGAGTTTATGTGTGAGTGCATAGTTCCTTTTCATGAACATGATTTTAATACAATTATTGATTAGAGTATTAAATATATGTTTGTGTGTGAAATATT